TGGGACTCTGACCTTTTAAGTTGACGTGCCCGAAATCACTAACAACCAACCAACCGACTAAAGTTTTATTTATTACATCAAAGGCGACAACCTCTCCATGTTAATGGAATTGATTGCATACGCCAGAACCAACTCCATCTGTTTATTTCCAGAACGTGCACACTCGGTGGAGAAGCTCCTTGACGCAGAATGGCCTTCCAGTCCCTTTCTGTGCGTGAGCGTGTAGAGCGCGGCCGGTGGCGTTCTCCCACGGGTGGGAGCGTGTGGAACGCGACGGGGGCGCCTCCGCGGCTGAGTATCGAGCAGCGGGACTGGGAGGGGGAAGAGGAGAGGGTTGGCCGCGGAAGCGCGTTATACCCGCGTGGCTGAGTCGTTTGTCCCCGGCGGCCGAGCGTTCGCGACGATCACCCGCACCCCCCCTTCCCCCACCACGCGCCCACCCGCGCCGCCCGCATCAAAGGCAGGAAGTCACGGCCTCCTTGATGCCGTCGCCACCGCCGCCTGCTGCTCCTGCCTCGCGCTGCCGGGAAAGGGCTCTCGCGCATTCTTTCTTCGAAGGCCTTGGATTCCTTCGAGGGGAGCTTTCGCATCACAACGGCTAGAGGTGTTCTATAATACGGTGAACGCATTGTGATCCGCAGAGAGCCAATATTATTCGTTCACCTTTTTTTATTGAACCCTCATTTTGCCAGATGCGAGACGAGTGGGTGTTTTATGTTTTCGATGACGACTATTACATCAAATATGTAATTCGTTTTTATTTGAAAAATGGTTTTTTTTAGGGAAGCGAACATTACTTATTCTTAGATTTTGTCAACAACGCTCGTCGCTAACATTTATTCTTAATTCAATTACTGTTATTAAAGGAGTAGATATTCGGGGGCTTGAGAAAACATGCGCATATAATAATCATCTCAAAATGAGCTTGATACGAATGTAATAACCACATTTAGAAATGAAACAGTTCAATGTTTAAGTATTATGATCCATTGAAGAAATACACGTGTTCCACATAAATTTGAAATAAATTATTAAATGGACTTAGTTATTGTATAATAACTGTTAAATACACTCCTTATTAACTCTTTTCAATGTTAACTTTATTTTACTCCAACTATTTCGGCAATGTTATTTAACACCACATTTCGTTTAGTGTACATTATTGTCTTTGTTAGTGAATATTATAGAGAATTAGTGGGATTACATTCATAGCCCTGTTAAAATCAATTGCGTTTTTTAAAAATATTAATATGGGTCTAATGACCATACTTTCCAAGAAATATGATCTTGGAAGTTAAAATCATTGCTACAAGTTAAAAGAGACTGCGATGGAATATCATTAGCAAAACTATTTCAATGCAAACACAATACGTTTCGGATATAGAGTGAACGTGAGCATTTCTCCAAAATGTCACTGAATTTAATGTCAAGAAAATATTCCTATATGTCGTTTTTCTCTTCTAAAAGTTTTATCCGTCCGTTCACTTGTATCCGTATTTAGAACGAGATTTTCGATTTTCGTTGAGCATATCTACTGTTCGAACGAAGTCAGATGAAAACCATTTGAATGAATAATGTGTATTTCTTTATCACGTAACCTGACAATTCAAAGCAACGTTGTAGGTGAGGAATGACAAATTGTTTTCGAAGACTGGACGTTATTTATGTGTCTGATAATGAAATGAATTCGCGATGTTCTTGTTTGTCTTTGTGATGGTAAACGGCTTGACTGAAACGTGAAACATTCATCTTTCATCTGGATGCTATTTTTTGCATTCAACATCTGACACCGAAAACGGAGATTAAACAATAGACCGAAAATACCAGTGTTCTAAATCAATATAATACAACAATGGCAATGATATATTTCTTTCAAAATTAATGTGGTTCCTATGAAGAGAAGCACAACATCAAATGCTCTAAAATAAACAATCATATTTATGAATTTTAAATTAGTCTCCTTTTTCATACGTCATAACTGTTATAAAGTAGAACTTTCAGGAAAAAATGATTTTTAGAGAAAATCAAAAAAAGAAAGAAAGGAGAGAAGAAAGAAGGATACAAGGAAAAAAAGAAAGAAAGAAATAAAAACCTCTCGCAACATTTAATCATTGGATTTTGGGACCAAAAAAGAAACAAATAAATATAATTCATAGGTGAGTTATTTCATGTAGAAAAAATCACTGCCATCTCCTTAATTAGATTAAAAATATTGCTAATTTATTTTTGTTGAGAAACGCTTAGTTTGAGCTTAGTAGTTTCTTGACAATTCCTCATCTCCATAACGTCTAGAAGGTTGGGCTAACAGTGAAATCTCTAAGACTTTTTCGAAGTATTACCGAAAAAAAGTCAACGTTTTCCTCCGCTCACGAAGAAAATGCTATTAATTGAGCTCTGGGATCGATCGTCAGAGCCATGCCTCCCAGCCGGCAGCCAGAATTGCATCGCGCTCGATGTTTAAAAATAATACAAATAACTCCCCCCCCCCCACTCCCAGCAGTAGTGAAACGAAATGAGTGCGGGACTGCTCGCAAACGTCGCTCGCCGCGCCCCCAAGTCTTCAACGACGCATCGAGTCTTGGAAATGCGCATAAAGTTGCGGCAATACACAGGCTGTGATAAAATTAAAAAATCCCAAAAACACATTTGTGCTTCTGGGCCTAAAACGGCAAGGAATTATTAGTTGCTAATATTGGTAGGAACACCCTTGTATGTTTTTCCAACTGACATATCTCATCCTGGATTCAGGAGCTAAGTTTCGATTAATGTAAGTTGGTTGTTGGTAGTTGTGTGTGACGTAAGGACGCCTATCACCTTTTCCATCAAAGCTGTTTATGAGAGAGTGAAAATGTGACGAGTCAGATCGCTGAGTTGTCACAAACGAATGGGAAACATACTTTACGTGATCAAAAGTATCCGAACACGTCCACGATGGTGTTATGGTGTGGTCGTGGTTTTCATGGAGGGGGCTTGCATACCTTTTTATTTTGTGAGGTACTATCACGGCACAGGCATTTTAAACACCTTCTTGTTTCCCACTGTTGAAAAGCAATTCGGGGTTGGCGATTGTATCTTTCCACATGACCGAGCACCTGTCACACTGCACGGAGTGGCGGAGAGTTTACACGACAATAAAATCCCTGTAATGAACTGGCCTGCACAGAATCCGGACTGGAATCCTATCGAACACCTTTGGGATGTATTGGAACGCCAGCTTCGTGCCAGTCCTCCCCGACCTACATCGATACCTCTCCTCAGTGCAGCTCTCCGTGAAGAATGGGCTGCCATTTCCCAAGAAACATTCCCGCCCCTGGTTGAAAGTATGACTGCGAGAGTGGAAGGTGTCATCAAAGCTAAGGGTGGGCCAACACCCAATTGAATTTCAACCTTACCGGATGGAGGGGGCCACGAACTTTTAAGTCATTTTCAGTCACGTGTCCGGATACTTTTGGTCACAGAGTATGAGCGTCGTGAGCAAATCATCTGTCTCTCGCCACTCGCATTTCTGCCTTTTCTGCGCGCTCATTCTCTTCAGAGTTTTAGGTTAACATTTGTCTTAACTAAACTGGAAAGGGTTTTGAATAACGCAGTAACAAAAAAAAAACACTTATCGAATGGTGAAATGTCATTGAACATACCGTGAAAATAATTACAGATTCTTAGGAGCAGGAAGTCGTGATAGAAAACAATGCTGAAGAGCTCTTCATTATTAATTAGAACGCTGGGGTCAGATACTTCTAATAATTAAATACAGCAAATAAAAAAGGCTGGTATCAAAAATTCTTGTATTTCCATTTTTTTGATATCAGACATCTTTTATTACCGTAACTCTTTATTAATTTCAAGTGTGCAAGTAGCTAGAGTGGTAGTGCTACAGACATAGCATGTGCCAGTTGAAGTCACAATGAGTCAGAAAAGAGCGATGTATTTTCTATCGCCTTATAATTTAGTGTATATAAGTGGTGTAATATAGTATACGCCGTCACTTTTATTGAAGTTAATAGAGAACGCAATGTGTACCCGTTCCAAAATAATCTGCTGCTCCACACAATGTTAGTATATATTTGGTTACTTTTATAAGTATTTATTTGAAGTGTTTATTTTTGTATCCCAGAAACACATGCTCAGTGGTACGCAACCTGACAACGTCGCTCCCCTCCACTCGCAAATGTCAAACATCTACTTTTAATCGGACTCTAGTAGTGTAGATCGCTGTCAGATCAATCTCCTTCTCCAGCTGGGAGCAGAGTTCAAATCTCGGACGATATATGTGAGATTTTTGGTGGTGGAAGCTTCAACAATTCTCTCATTTCTCTTCACTCTAGTTTCACCTTCACTACGTAATCATTTGTTTTCATTATCCCTTAACCATTTAAAATTCATCATTAATCAGCGGTATAAGGTTGAGGAAGTAGTATCATAATAAAGAATAATTACATAATACACGCCCCCCCCCCCCGCCCGCCCGCCCACGCGCCGCCGCCCGCCACTCCCCCGGCCCGCCCCGCCCCGCCCCGCCACGACCCGCCACGCCCCGCCACGCCCTCGCACCTCGCCACGCCCCGCCCACCGCCGGACGCCCCGCCACGCCCCGCCACTCCCCCCACGCCCGCCCCCCAGCCCGCCCCCCGCGCCACCGCCCCGCCACGCCCCAGCCGCCAGCCGAGACGCCCCCCACGCCCCGCCTCCTCCGCCACGCCACGCCCCCGCCCGCCCCGCCCGCCACGCTCCGCCACGCCCCGAGACGCCCCACCACCCCCCTCGTCTCCTGTCCGCACGCCACGGCCACCCACCCCTCACCACGCCTTGCCAAGCCCCGTCACCCCTTGTCAAGCCCCCCCCCCCAAGCCACGCCTCGCCACGCGACGTCACACCCTGCCACACCCCGCTACACTCCGCCACGCAAAGCTCTGCCATCCCCCTCCCCACCGAGCGGTTGGCGACCTGAACCCTTAAGCGCATATGCGAGTGCGTACGCCCACGTCTCTGCGAGTCTATTAATGCGCAGACGTGCATGCGCGTGCGGGTACTTGAATGCGTTTACGCGCCTGTGTGATTGTACGTGTGTACTTCACTTCCTTGCATTGTGCTGCACAATGAAGGCTGCCATCCTTGCACGCATTATGGCAGTTTTTGACATGGGTCCTAAATAGGTTGTATGGTTGGGAAAACACAAAACTTACTTGGATAAAAATTCTAATTTTTTTCAATACACCATAATTTTTAGACTTTACATTTAATTCATTAATATTTAAAAAATATTTGTAATTTTACAAGTTGTTATTGTTTGATATTGTTAAGAATTGGTTGTTGTTTGGTAGTCCATTTCTTAATAATATATTATGCATTTCGGTTAATTTTGTAATAATAAGTACTAAAGCCAGTAGTTTACATAATCTTCTATTCATTTCTGACAAACGGATAAATTTTGAAAGAAAGAGTACAGTTAGTGGTAGAAGTATTTCTTGTTTATGACAATAAATTGTGTAAATATAAGAGTAACATCTTTTAATGGACTGAAAATAAATTAGTTTATTAATAAATTGTAATACATATTACATTTTCCACAATTGACTAAAAAATGATGCGAATACATTTTTATATATGAAGTAGAGTATGATTTAGTATCTATAAAACTATAATATAGTACACAAAGAGAAAAATATTGAATTCGAAGTATCTTTAAGTAATGAATTTTAATTATAATGCATAATAATAATAATAATAACAATAACAATAATAATAATAATAATATAATTAGATGAAATTAGTGTCATAAACTCGAAGTAAAGATGGTGAAAGAGTTACTGATGAAATGGAATTTGAAATTTTTCACATGTGGCGTCATGTCAGTCGCCTTGTACAAAGGCGACTGACAAATTATTAGCCTCGTGCATTTCATGCTCAAGGGCAACGCTGGCGGGAAGAGACGCCGGGCTGAACAATGACAAACCTAGGGAGCGGAAGGGAAGGGGTGCCGTGTCGTGGGTGGCCACTTGTGAACCCCGTTGACCACTTGGAGCAAAATTGTGAACCCCGTAGACAGGCTAGCTGTGGAATCGCGTCTGCGGAAACAGCGAGATGACGCAGTTCCGTCAGCCGGCCCAGAAAGTAATATAAACGGACCCCGGATCTAAACTCCATCTTCTGATTCTTGGGCGCATCGGTTGGAAGTCGCGTGGATTTTGCGCGGCGCTGCATTTCAATGCATAGGCTACAGAGGCAGGGAACTGAAGCCGGCGTGCTACGTCGAGACGGGGGGTGCGGCATACTCGCTGGTATGCTCCCGTAGGCTACTGGTGCATCACACCGAATAAGATACCTAATTATCAGGCCAGCGGTGGTGGTGACCAGGGACATTCCTTCTAGTAACGGGTCAATATTGTTTATTGCAATTATTGTACATAGTATTCAGGTCTTGGAGCATATTTCAAATAAATACTCAATAAATTACAAATCGTTCACATCTGTGATTTATTGACCCGGCAAAAACGCCACACACACTCAACTAATTTCTGTAGGCAAAGTTATTACCACTATTCTTTACAAATCTAATTTGAAAGTTTGTCTTCCATTTCTGAAGGAAGTAAAATGAAAGCAAGCAACGAATATTAAGTATGCCAGTTACACATCTCCCATCACTGCCCTAGGCAAAGAAGGGCAGTTGGTTGAGCTAGTCAGCGGGATGAAGCGAGTGGACGGTTCGAGTACATTTTGTGGCGTTGGGAAAAAGGGTGGTGGGGTGATGGGCAATAGAGCGGTGAGCAAAGGGCAGTAAACAGTGACCGATGGGAGTGAGCGGTGGGAGTAGACAGTGAGAGCAAACGGTGGGAGTGTGAGGTTGGAGTGGGCGGTGGGTGTAAAAAGCGAGAGTAAAGGATGGGAGTGTGAGGTTGGAGTGGGCGGTGGGTGTAGACAGTGAGAGTAAAGGATGGGAGTGTGAGGTTGGAGTGGGCGGTGTGAGTGTGAGGTTGGAGTGGGCGGAGGGCAGTAAGAGTGGACACTGCGAGTATGAGGTTGGAGTGGGCAATGAGCGTGTGAGGTTGGAGTGGGGGATGGAAATGGGCGGTAAGAGGGGGCGGTGGGAGTGAACGGTGGGAATGGGCGGGCCCGCCTGAATCGGCCGCACCTGACGTGTCCGCACGTGTTGCCTGGAGCGAGTGGCCCTGTGCGTCGCTGGGTGGGAGAGTCGCCCACGCGGCCGAGTGGGGTGGGATGACGGATGGCAGTTGAGAGAGACATCGAGACGAGAGGACCAAAGAAGTGGGCGGTGGGTGGGTGTCACTCATATGGCGGTGGAGTCCGATGCGATCAGCCAAGTGGGCAGTTGGTAGCGGGCATGGTAGGTGTGGTAGTGCATCTGCAGGGTGGCGGAGTGCTGCGGGAGATCTGGGTTGGGCATGCGCCCCGGCGTCAACAGCGGCCGGCGGCAGCGCCAACGCAAACACCAGCGCCTCCGAGAGGCGACGCCCCCTCCTCTATCCCAACCGCTGCCGCCCCGACGCCGCTCTATGTCGCCCCCTCCGAAAGCTGAGCTCTCGACCCGCCTGCGGCCGCGTCGCCCGCCTCGCGCTCCCTCTACGGCCTCAACCCCTCTGCTCCACCGCCACTCGGCCGCTTTTTCCTCCTGTTCGCATTCTCTCTTATTTGCCCTGCTACACCCCTTCCTCATCATTCCCACTCAATACCCCACGCCCTGATTCCTATAGCTCTAGTAGTTCTATCTAGCGAGGTCGTTTCTTTGTGACCACTCCACATGCCCTTCCCCTCGCCTATAATGTTTAGATATGATTTTGCTCCTTCCCTCTTCTCTTAATTCTTTTATGTTCCCGATGCTTCATTTTTCTCTGTTCAGTATATCCCTTGTGTGTTTTTGTATCCTCTCATATTGAGGGATGCCAATTGCACCGTCCGTTGTGTTTGAAAGGCTTGCTCACATTCTGGCATTCATCTAAGATTTTTATTGTGAATTTCTTTCTACTCCTGAATGCCTATGATCTGCGTTTCAACGTTGTACTTTTTGTATTTGGAATTAATTACTTCCATTTTCTCTCCTCGCCTAAACTTCTTCGGCTCAACATATTCGGCGGGACGCCTTCGCCTCAACCACCTTCGCCTCAACCACCTTCGCCTCAACACCCTCAACACCCCC